TATATAAACAATAGAGAGGACGTAAGCAAATTTTGATAACAGATCCTGCAATGGCCTTTACTGGTGGCAAAAGTACTCGTGGTAGAATCCTAGTCTCTTTATTCGTGTATTTCACCAACACCAGCGACTATATTCAATCCTACAAAAAAGAACATGTGCTCACTTATTTCAAATGAATTGGTGATTAATGGTCAATAGGTTAGAAAGAGGTTATATTTTAATATTCTAACAATTCTACTTTGAAACAATTTTTAATTTGATCACAGGACTTGTGAAATTCAGTTTCGACTTGAATGGAATCAACTGAGAGATTGCATTTCTTTCTTTGTTCTAGCTCCATCTTGAGAACCGTGTTCACAAGAGAATTAAACAGATATAAACAACTTTTAAGTCCAAATTATGAATGACTCGGCTATAATCAACTGATGTTGACTATAATAGTTTTACTGCCATACAAAATAAGTCTCCACTATGAAAATCAATACTTCACAAGTTTATAAGGTGCAGAAGGTAACAAATCCAAACTCAAGGCTTCACCATCAAGAAATAATTATTATATTACAAACATAATCAGGCCAAATTTACAACAAACTGCTTTGTTGTTTTTTAGGAAAAAGCATGTAAAAATGTTGGGAAAAAGTAAGCTGAAAGGTAACCAAAATACTGTCATTACTAACCTTTCAATAATTTTGTTCACAAAGCCCTTCTCTATTCTCATTGAGTTCTTCTTAATACCATCGACTGCTAAGAAATCGACACATAATAGTCAATAAATACATGTATGTGAAAAAATCAGTTAACAAAAGAGCGAAAGGCTCAAGAACTCTACAATAGCTTTCAATAAATTTGGGTTTCTTAACTATGGGGGTTTGAGAATGTCCATTGAAGCAATTTGGACAGGAACAACAAATTTGACACCAATATTAAAAAGAGAGCATGCATTGCATAATCAATTAAGAAAAGAATCAAAGACACGGGTAAATTCAGAATAGCAATCAGAAGTTTCTGTACCATCTAGAGTTAGCGATGACACGACAAATATCGCGTATAGAATTTGAAGATGAAGATGCAAATCCTCAAAAAAGAACTGCTTACATGTTCTTCAAAAGTACAGAATTGCTAGAACCAAATACTCAAATTAAAATTGAGAGAGAACGAAGAGGGTAGAGTTATGGAAGAGAAACAGTTTCTAGAATGTGCAATTACGAAGGAAGAAGGAAACTTGCGTATTCTTGCCCCAAGTTTGACCCAATTATACATCAAAATTTCTGGCTCTAACAGCAATGCCTTTTAAATAAAACAACTGTAAATCATCCTAATTTTAATTTGTTTTGTCCAATTCCACTATTTATGTGTATTCATTGAATAAAGGTTTTTTCTTTGCACGTCGATTCACATGAATAGAGCTGACTTAACTTCTTATAACCCACCAAAAATTAAAGAAAAATCACTACATATTAACACAAAATACATAATAAATTATAATGGACAAACTATTCAAAGAAGAAACCAAAGATAAAGAAGCCAATATTTCACCAAATAATACTCACAGAAAAAGATAACGACAACAACTGCACAAAAAGGACCGACACCTGAGACGACGAAGAATGGATCCCATCTCTCACACCCTCTGCATCACCAAAAAAGTGAACGATGATAAAGTAGCAAATACATAAAGCATTGGCTACTATTTGAAAAGAATCCAACAAATCACTGGCAACTATTAGCAATTTTAAGAGAAAATTCACATGCATACAATCGTAGGAACAACAAAAACTGTAAATTAGAAATGGAAAAAAAAAACATCGATATTTAGCAGATAAAATAGAAGTTGATGAGTGAATTAATTTTCTGACAAAAAATTAGGTCTTTTGTTAATTCTGAAACCTAGCCAACACACATGCATCTACAAAACCCAGCAAGAGAGTAGCAAAGAAAAATTAACAAATACCCACCAAATCCCTATAATCAAGAAAAAGGGGCAGGAAAAAAATAAAAAAAAATTACCAGAATTCAAAAATACTGTAGACGCCATAGACAAACTTCAACCAAAACGGAAAACTTTTGAAACGAAACACATAAGGGTTGAGAAGAGCAGTATGATGAGAAGATTTACCATTTTACTTCCTAGGGTTGAGATGAGGTGATATATGTGAGAATATGAAATCATCATCATACACAAAGAATTAGGAATCGGGGGAAGTGACAAATGGAATAAGTGTTACTCCAACAGAAGAGCTTTTTTCTGAAATGACTAACCGTAGAATACCAATTTTGCCCATAAGGCAATTCATAATTACTATTCTACCCACCAAAACATTCACTTATTACATTCATCACTTTGGCAGTTACAACAAATTAAACGTCCCCTCCTCTTCCATTTCTACACAGCTCCTCGGTCATGTATGAATGAACAGATTGAAATTGACTGATGAGATATAGTATTAATTTAACTTGCACAGTATTATGTAAATGGAAGAAAATATCAAAGTGTTAGAATTCGAATAGTTTAATGAAACTTACATACTTATTAGATTCCTCTACCTTTTTGCTGTGATTGATCAGCTTAATTTTGATTATAATAATAGGTCTATCTTACCCTCTTCTGTGCCCACTTTTGCGCTACTGTTGGATCCTTCTTGCATTTGATCTGGGAAGTAGGGGGCTTGTTCACAATCCTTACTTGTGCTGCAAGTATACTCTGCTTTTTACTCACACCGCCGCTGGTCGTGGTATGTCCGCCGGTCATGACTAGATTTACGTTTAAATAATTACTCCTATTATTTTGAAGTTTCTCCTTTTAATTAATATCAAAAGTCTTCTACCTGTGAATGCAGAAGAAGAGGATGTTATTCTTGATGACAACTGCCTGTTCCTTTGGAGCTTCTGTTAACGTTGATCATGGGTGAGTCTCATATGATCACACGACTGTGAACTTGGTCAAATTTTTGGCTTTTAGTATCTATGTTTTGATTAGATGTTCTTTAATTTAATCCCTAAGTGAAGAATATTTCAACTCACCGTCGATCCGATGGAACAATATAATATACAATCAGTAGTATCTAACTTCAATACGCATTTTGTTCGGCAGCTCTGTCTGTAGCTATTTGGCAAGTTTAACAATGATCTTCGGTTGTTTCTCGCTGGTATCCCTGTTAACATCGCGAAGGAACACCTTCTACTTTGATAGCCTCCTCGCTTCCCAACTAGTAACGCAAACCTGGTATTTTTTATGGTGTCCATCTCATTCAAAAGGTTTGGTAGTCAAACTTGTTGAATTGATATTGGTTTAGTAGTCAACCTTGTTGAATTGGTTTGATTTGGTAGTCAATCTTGTTGAAATTGTGAAAAGTGTGTGTAAAATTGTCAAATATGTGGCTATAAATGAGAGCTTCAACTCTCATTTCATCACACCAACAAAGAGTGAAAGATAGAGAGATAAACTATAAGAAAATAGTTTGTGAAAAAATAGAGTGTCAGAGATATTATAGTGAGGTGGAAAAAGCAAAAGAGTATTTTTTTTCTTTTGAGGGTGTAGTGGTCTTAGGAGTATTTGTACTCGTTACTACACAGTGTAAAATTCTTCGATATACTTATATCAGTTGCTCTTCTTGACCGTGATTTTTCCCTTATTCAGAAGGGTTTCCACGTAAAATCTTGATGTCATTTTGGCTGCATTTTTATTCTTGCTGATTTAACCATAACTTAGTGGTCCGCATTTATCACTAATACCGTGAATATTATTTTTACGTGGTTTATTCCCAACAAGTGGTATCAGCCAAGGTTCTGTCTGAGTATGCTCTGTGGTTGCAGCACAGTGTGAACTTCCATATAAGAAAAGAATTACTTTGGTCTCATAATAAATAGTATTTGCATTTGTGATAAACGATGGAAGCCAACACTAGTAGAATTGTTACATTGAATGACACAAACTATGCCATTTGGAAGCGCAAAATGGAAGATTTGCGCTATGTCAAGAATTTTCATCAACCTGTCTTCGCCATTATAAAGCCTGATAATAAATCAGATGAAGAGTGGAATGTGTTACGCAGGCAGGTTTGCGGCTTTATTAGACAGTGGGTTGACGATAATGTTTTGAACCATACTTATGGGGAGACACATGCTCGGACCCTATGGGAGCACATTGAAAGTCTATATGCTCGTAAAACTGGAAACAACAAGATGTTTCTGATAAAGCAGATGTTGGGTTTAAAATACCATGATGGTTCCACGATGACAGATCATCTGAATAATTTTCAGGAGATCATGAATCAGTTATCTGCTATAGGTATTAAATTTGATGAAGAAATTCAAGGCCTGTTTCTACTTGGTTCCCTACCAGATTCTTGGGAAATTCTTAGAACTTCATTATCAAATTATGCTCTAGATGGTGTGATCTCTATGGATCTTGCCAAGAGCAGCCTTTTAAATGAAGAGATGAGAAGAAAATCTCAGGGTTCTTCCTTATCAGATGTCTTGGTGACTGACTCTAGGGGGAGAAGCAAGAATTGAGGTTCTCAAAATAAAGAACATAATAGAAGCAAATCCAAAAGCATACTTAAAGATATTGAGTGCTATCATTGCGGGAAGAAATGTCACACAAAGAAGTTCTGCCGGATTTTGAAAAAGGATAATAGAGACAAAGAAGAACAAAAAAAAGATGGCAATCGTGTGGCCACCGTCACTACAAAAGGTCTTGTTACCGTCCTTGATGCGGATCTGATAAATATTGCTTGTGATGAGTCAAACTGGGTTGTGGACAGTGGTGCCGCATCTCATGTGACATCAAGGAAGGAATCTTTCTCATCCTATACTTAGGGTGACTTTGGAACTTTGAGTATGGGTAATGAGATTGTATCTACGGTGGCTGGTGTTGGAACGATTTTTTTGGAAACTAGTATTGGAACTAAACTAGTTTTAAACAATGTAAAGCATGCACCTGATGTTCGTTTGCACTTGATCTCTGTTGGTGTTTTGGATGATTAGGGATATGTCAGTACCAATGGTGCTGGAAAGTGGAAGCTCACTAAGGGCTCCATGATTGTGGCTTGTGAGGAAAAGCGTCGTGGTCTATACTGGACTACGACCTCTACCTGTGTTGATATGGTGAATGTCGTTGGGAGCAATAACTCTTCAACGTTATGGCATAAGAGGCTTAGCCACATTAGCGAGAAAGGACTAAATGTTCTGGCCAAGAAGAAATTGTTGTCAAATTTTGAAAGTGCAAAATTAGAAAAATGTGAGCATTGCTTGGCTGGAAAATAAAAAAGAGTTTCTTTCCAATCTCATCCTCCTTCAAGAAAGACAGAGTTGCTTGAATTGGTGCATTCAAATTTATGTGGTCCAATAAAGACAAGGACTTTGAGTGGTGCACTTTATTTTGCTACCTTTATTGATGATTGCTTAAAGAAACTTTGGGTCTACATTTTGAAGACCAAAGACCAAGTTTTGAGCGTCTTTAAGCAGTTTCAGGCTTCAGTTGAAAGAGAAACAAGAAAGAAGCTGAAGTGTATTCGTACTGATAACGATGGTGAATATTGTGGACCGTTTGACGAATATTGCAAGCAACATGGCATCAGACACTAGAAGACTCCTCTTGCTTAGCTGTCTGCTTAGCTGCACGATTTTTCTCACCTAACATCTCTTTGAGACTTTCGAGCATATCATAAGCAGACCCCATAGACTGATGTTGATGTTGCAAAATATTCACCATAGCGGCAAAAATGTAACATCGCGTCATCTCATCAGCCTTAACCCATTTGTCATAAGCCTTAACCTGATCATCAACAACATTTTCAGGTTTTTCTAGGCACTCCTTAGTGATTACAAATTTATAACCTTCAGCAGTTAGGACAATATCAAGGTTCCTTTTCCAGTCAACATAATTCGGTCCTTCTAACTTGTTTTGGTTCAAAATTGAGGTGAGTGGGTTGAATGAAGACATGGTTAGTCTGAGAGATATTCACCTTAAATAGATCATTAGTTATGTATTTTAGAATAATTAAATTCAAAATAGCACATTACACATATAACCATGCTCATTGAACAGTTAGATTCGTTAGGGAAACTTAACTATTCATGCAAAATATATGAGTGATGTAAGATATTAACCCCATAAATCTAAACAACACCAATTCAGATAGAGAGTAAGCCGTTAATTTAAGATATGTAAATATCACTTTAATAAACTCTAGTTTCATTGAATCAACATGTAACTCAGTTGGAGAGTTAATACAAGTAATCAAATAACTAGAGGCAAAACTACAGTAATCATCTATAATGAATTTATCTGATGTGGAAGAAGACCTATGTCAACATATACATTCATTATATTACTGTAAAACATGATTGGAAACAATGGGAATTGAATCCTACCACCACAGATTTCTTTAAAAAAAAATTCTTTTATTAAAAAATTTCCAGAAAATAGAAAAATGACCCAAAACCCATCTAAACGACCCCGAATGTCCAAAAAACGACGTATGTCATAAGCGGAGCTGATGTGTATTGCTCACTAGCCGTTTCCGATAAACCTACCAAATTTGAGGTCAATCGGAGTTCGATAGAATTTCAGAATTCTAAAATCAATACCTCTTTCTAGAATTCTGTTTTTGACGTTTTTAAGGGTTTTTATTATTTTGACTTGTTCAAATCACATAATATACTGATGTATGTTAAAACATGATTTCATAACTCAAAATAATATTTTATTATTATTTAATAAAAACGTGTTCAGACAGAATTGTAAAACACAGTATGTTTTTCATAGTTCAAAAACGTCACTATTCATAATTCTGTATATTAATCCAAAATTACAGAACTAATATCATACAAAATATTTAAATTTTTATTAATATAACACTGTGATTATGGACAGAACGCAACTAAAATAGATTAATAGTATTAATTCATTGTTTATGCATATGTATATTAACCCATAATTACAGAATTAAAAGCATTAAAAAACAGTCATGTTTTTAACAAAAAATATTGCTATTCATCAAAAACGTAATTTAAACAGACTGTCATTAAATATATCATCACTGTTTATACATGTGTATATTAATTCATAATTTCAGAATTACAGAATTAAGATACTAATAAATACAATCACATTTTTGACATAGAATAATCATCCCAAACAGGTATCAATAAACAACACATTTTAATATTACTCTATGCATGCTATATTACATTATTTAGTTAGATGTAAGACGATTTGATACCAATTGTTAGAACATGCGCAGCGGGAGCAAGTATATAATCCAGGCATCAAATACACGTAAACTAGACAACACAATAATAACAAGATTAGAAGCACTAACCTCTTGAAATAGTTGTACAAATCTTCCAAACGGCAAGAATCCAGGACTGCAGTTTTCTGCTATTTGCCTAGTAAAACCTTGGACGATTTTTTGCTTTTAGGTGGGAAAGAACAATACAACTCTAAAATGTGAGTTATTGGGTGAAATTAGTCTTCCTTTAATAGAGTTATTTTTGGCCGAAAATTCTCCCCCAAAAACGTGTAGGAGTCTGCCTTTTACAAGTAAAATCCTACTCCAACTCTACTAGATGACTTTTCTCCCAAGTTACCTTTTATCCAAGTCTTGTCTAGGTTTTTACTAGGTATAGCAGAGACCACAGAAATAATAAGAGGCTACCAATTATAACATTAATTCGAAATTAGCATGAATTAATTCTTACTATAATTAATTGCAATTTATTCCACTAAAAAGCTGCAATTGAACTCCTCAATATGAATTTTGAAAATTTAATAACACTTATTTTAACTCCCCATGTTAAGATCTCAAATACCAGTTAATTAAATTAAATTACTGAAAATTTAATTTAATCAACTAATTAAATCCTTTACAATTCCGCTTAAACTATTTCATGTGACGGATACAAAATCCACCGGCCAGGTTTTCACATGAAAACTTATAAGTTTACATAAAGGGGTATCATCAAACTCAAAACCGAGTCATGGATTCTATCAACTAATTATTATTCACAAATGTTATTCGTTATTGTCCAATCTATTAGGCATACACTAACTCTGAATAGAGTCGTACCTTTTGATAAATCAAAACAATAAACAAATTACATTGATCATAATACTTATATTAAGATTAGGAGTATAAGCTCATTTAATGAATTAGAGAAAATATTTTATATATTCAGTACAAAAACATCTTTTCTCTACTTGGTTCGTTCAATATACACTGAGTATACTAGCACAAGAAGTTGGAGTAAAACTACTCCCATAATCAAGACAAATTGCACTATAATCTTGTACTACAATCATCAAGATATTTTGTCCAACAATATCTTTGATTGTGAACATAGTTTATTAATTATGAGAATCAACAATTTAATCTTCTGTGCATGAGCTACGACTCCATACACTAAAGTGTCTACTACATAACTAAAAGGACACACATGTAACAAATGATCTATTTAAAATAGTACTTTATTGAATTGAATAAATTAAATAAATAATTATTTCATAAAGAAATAAAATATAATATTATGTCTAAACCGCATGATTAATAGTATATCCCAACAGATCACTCATCTATGAATGAACAGTTTGAATTTGATTTACTCAACTTGAAAGGTACAATCTGGGTCTGGACAAGCAGGATGACGATGACGATGACGATGAGGGTCTGGACAGGCAGGATGAGGATGATGGTTAAAGCTTTGAGCTCTACCATTTTGCTTATCAATCTTGGAGCTCCGCAATCTCCCAATCTTGCATATTCCTTCTAAATGAGAGGTCCCATACTATCCCCTCCTCCCATGCTCCTTACGAATCTGTTGGACCATCAATTCCTTCTAGTTTGAAACTCTGAAGACATGAGGGAAGGAGACCCTCAGAGTATCCTCTCCACACCACCTATGATTCCAAAAGCTGATTCTCCTCCCATCTCCCACCCTATAAGTGATGTTGTCACTGAATGCTTCCCAGTTCTTCATGATGCTCCTCCACATGCCACACCCGAAAGGTGTTGTGATTGCCTTGATCCTCCAACCCCCTCCCGTGGAATCGTACTTTTCTACTATGACCTTCCTCCATAGGGCATGCTCTTTTACCCCGAATCTCTACAACCACTTCCCCAATAAAGCTTTGTTGAATACCCTAAGATCTTTTACTCCAAGTCCACCCCACTTCTTTGTGGAAGTGACTGTCTGCCAAATCACCAGATGAAACTTTCTAGTTCCATCCGCCGCATCCCAAAGAAAATTGCTTTGAAGCCGGTCCAGTTTTTCTGTAATGCTCACCAGCGCTTGCAACAGGGACAAGTAATAGGTGAACATAATCGATAGAGTGCTTTTAATAAGCACTTCCTTACCGCCTTTTGACAAATACCGTTTCTGCCAGCCTGCTAATTTTTTTTCAACCCTTTCGATCACTGGATTCCAAACCGTAGTATCCTTATGCGACGCGTCCAATGGAACGGGCCCAATGGGAGACCCAATGCGACGTGCAAATATTCTTCTAATTCTGTACCCATTGAATGTGCAACTCGTAGATGATCAGTGGTCTTTGAACATCTGACATTTGGTCTTAGTTAACCAAATAGTAATCAATCTTGTTATTTCAACCTTCCTTAGATAAATAGAAATGAAGTTAGAAAAAGCACGGTACTAACTTAGTTTCCATCGACTTGTTTTGTCAATCAATTATGGATTCACTAATTACCATTTGTAGGTTAAGTTATTGCTTCACAACTTGTACACATTGTAGTTTGTCATTTATACCTTGAAGTTCTTACTTTAAGACTATATTTCATACTATAAGAGGTTCACTGGAAACGATATATTGGTTACTGTCTCCTAGGAAATCCCCAGCCGAAACAACTGAACATTTCTGCACTCAGATTTATCATCTAAATTAAGAGGACTAAATTTCCCTCTAGCTCTGGAGGAGAAGAAGAAATAAATTACTTCTAATCAATGTACAACCTCCTTACATGAATAACAAGAAAGTAAAAAAGAGCCTAACATCTTGTTACCATATTACAACTATAAGCAAATAAGTAATAGACTAAAAGCTAGAGCATAAAAGTGCTAGGAGTGTTTTGTTTTAGACCAAAGGTCTCTCTTCTCTTCTTCCTCTTCACATACAGTCCCTATTTGAAATCTTATCTTCAGTCTCGGATGGTTTTTCAGTTTGACAAAGAGGTGAAGTTTTCTGAGGCCCTAGGCGGTAGAGGTTTGTTGTCCCGCAACATCTTCATTATAATACCCATACACATCAACAGAAATCCACAACAATGTTGTTTGGTCAAAGGCTTCATGAATATCATGTAAGAAAGCAATAATTTTACAATGTCAGATTGACGACAATTTCAGTAAAGGAGAACTCGAAATAGGATCGGAGCTAAGGAGAAACAAACCATTGCAGTGGTAGCAGCACCAAGAAATGCTATGACAGAAAGGACAGACAGTTGCCCCGTGAAAGTAGCGCAGGCTTCAAGCACTAAGACTCCGTAAACATAGGGATGCTGCAGGGAAAAAGAAAACAAGGTAAGCAGGAAACAAGCTTGAAGCAAAATGCGTGTGTTCTTGTGATGATTACTTGAGCACATGAAATCCATGTTGGCTTTAGCTCTCGCATTGCAATAATATCCAGGATCAACAACTGAAAGCCGATTGAGCAAAAGAGCATCTTCATCTGTTAAAGTTAAAGGCTCAAAGGGTATGAAGTAGTCACGAGTTTGTCATGGACAACTGTTCTCATGATTAAGCATCAAACTGAATGCAAAAGCACATGAAATAAACCTGTGTCATGTCAGGATTTGACTTGAAGATGACAGCTGGCGCATTCACCAAAAAGGAATCCATGATAAAAGCACCAGCTATCTTTAGCACACTAATTACACTGAAATTTGGCGAGGCTTGTGCATCAGCCAAGGTGAAAAGGATCAGGCCTACTACTAAGAGTACTGCAGATTTATATTCAAAGGGTGGATATTTTCATCGCATGCCCGGTATGAGAGTCCATCCTATCATGAGGTGCAAACCCTGAAATATTTGTAAATTGGAACATGAAACTTGTTAGGCAACACACAATTATTCTGTTTCACTAACCAATGAGAGACAAAATTCTATCCACATTAAAATTACTTTAAATTATATGCTATCACGATCAATCAAGAATAATACTACATTAATGATATTGACATTAGGCAAAAAATACAGTTGTCAATGTGCCTTCCACGGCACTTAGTAAACTGAAGTTTAATACTAGTTAATATGTTTTGTTATGCTTCTTTTTGAAAGTTAAACTGAAGAAACATCTTAAAAGTCCTTTGAAATCTGTCATAACATTCACCAAAGACCGGGGTTGCTGGTTCGTATGGTTTTTCCTACTACTTTCATCTAGGACTGGCTTGCTTCATCGACTTTAATATGTTAGAGACAAGCATCATCTCTCTGTAGGAAATGGCTTAGCTATTAACCTTGGTGGATCTGATATGATTTGTGCTGGACAGCTGAGGAAAGCCAAAGAGCCTTTGGTTGATCCACCTGAGCTCATGAGAACTGCAGATAACTTAACAGAAGTGTTCCATGGGTTCACCATTTGCTTTGGATTAAAACCATTAAGGAAGTATATCAGAGCCAGGAAAACCAATCCTTGAGAAAAGGTAAAGTACCATCCGTAGCTGCAACAATTAAAATACCCACCACATACCCAGATTAATCTCTAAATGCAGACCAAGCCAAAAATATTTAATAAAAGGGGCATGTCAAACTTACCTGAATTGAAGCCTGTTATAGATATATTCCTGTAATTGAATATATAAATTAAGCTTAAATCAGCTCAATTAGCAATAACAACAACAACAACAACCAACGGAAAATACTCAAGTGCACCAGTAAAGTCCAAGATGATGTCCATTGATTCCAGGAGTTACATGAAGCCTGAAAATCTGTAATAAACAGATGGCTGCACTTGCGTAACAAGGG